TGTAGTTTCATCCTTCAGTTTCCGAGTGTTGTACTTGAATTGAGGTCTATCACCAGCTTCCTTGAAGGCTTTTAACTTGATTTGGAAGGTTCCTTGCACTAGATAGTGGTCTGAACCTACATCTGCTCCTCTTCTTGACCTTGTGTTAAGTAGACTGCGTCTCCATATATATATATATATTTTCTGTAAGATCACTACATAACAGTTCATTCACTTAACTTCGGTCAGTATTACTTATGGTATGGGCATGTTCTCACAGGTACCGAAAAATGAACAACCCACCTGCATGCATACAGTAGCTTGTTTGTCTCAAGATGATAATAAATGTTTATAATGAACGTCATAACTAACTAAGGCTGACTCAGATTCAATATTTCTCGGTTAAAGGATTTTGTCGAACCTACTAAATAACACATTGTGGTCTACTGAATTCCTTGTGTCGATTATGATGTTAAACACAGGTCAAACTGATCGATCGGGGTTAGGAACTCAACTAAATGTAGAATGATGGGCCCTGGCAAGGTAAGACTTCTGGAAAACAACTGAACCACAGCCATACAATTTCTCATATCAAATCAAGCAGTAGACTGAGATACAGTGATAACCGAAAGCTTTTTTATTGAATGGACACCGGACACGTGTAACAGGAATGAGTCAACACCTATTCTGGATCTGTAATTAGTTTTACTACCAATAGACTCAGGGAATGAAACACATTAGAACTAGCTTGAGCATGAGCGCTCAGTTTTAATCTAATCGTCATTTGTAAATGATAGTATTTCACTTTGTGATTAAGTGCTAGGTATGCTTATATCCCTTATGTTCCATACTTACAGTTGGTATATATTTGAACTGCTTTTCTTCGCACTCCTCTTCCCGCGCATGGGTCATATTTCGTATGACCCGCTAGCATTCTGATTGGCTCCTGCATCTTAAATGTACTAATTATTCCTTGTCTTCCAAGGTCACTGAAAACTGTATAAATAGGGTCAGTTTTCACTAATAAACGTTTTCAGTCCAAGATACTATAAACTCAGCTAATTTCCAGTCTTTTGGTTTCTCTTTGCGAATCACTTGGGTTGAACCGTCTTAACCCTCGACCATCAATCTTTAAATATTATGGCTCGTTCTCACAACTCCACATCGTATAAAAAAAACTGTGTGAGAATCATACCCTGCCACAATGGTGAAATTCTACTCTTATATTCTTAACACTTGGTTTCCTCATTTGCCTGGATCGGTGACTACGTAGATAATTAGTTTCACATATCACTGCAACTTCTTATATGCACAATGCATCCACTGATTTCTCACGATTTTTCCCTTGTCACACCTTTGTACATTCGAAGAAGAACTGATACTTACTATCTTCGATCTGAGCTGTGCATATGTGCATCAAAATTATACATCCAAAATATACAATAGTTCACAATAGTGAAATAAAAGAAAGGGAATTAGTTAAGGATCGATTTAAAGCTCTTGAACCAAGAATAAAATAATATTATGAAAAGTGTCTCAAGTGAAATGTTTTAAAATGAATAAAATAGTGCTGCCAACCATTGTTGTCTGAGATGCCTGGTTTTGGTCTTCGATTTAAAAAAAAATAATAATGAAGGAAAATGAAAATAGTTAATTATGATTATATGTAACATAAAATTCTGTTATGAAGTAAATATTCTCCTATCCCTAGAAATTCGATCACAGGTTGACATTAACAGTAATTATTTAATAAGAAAGATGAACCTTTTAACATCTTTTATTTGTTGACCATATACGATTTATTCTTATTTGATATGATCATAGAGTAAGTAATATGTTATAAATCTGTGGATTCTCTGTCTGTCAATCTCAACTGTGTAGTGAATTACAGGTTCTGTGGTCAAGGTGGAAATGGCAACAGAGATGGGTGTATGAAGTCTGTTAGTGATATGCTACAGCTGGCACTTATTGTTCGAGGACTAATAATCATGCTGTGGCATTTACATTGAATCTTAATTTGCTCCCATTGTCTTTTAAAGATGTTAGACATCTGCGTTTTCTTCCATTTGTTTTTCCTTCTCATGTTTTCTATTATTTAAGTTAGTGTAGAGAGGACGGTTCGATTTTGTCCTCTACTAGCTCCTGTATTGATTGTATGTATATCTGAATTTGTCTTCCTCATCTCAAGAGAGTGTTACTGGTCAGTAGTATGTAATTTAAACTGCTAGTATTCATTACTGAGTGAAATTTAAGTTAATATAACCAAATAATGATACTGATGAACTGGTTTTTTACAGTATAAGAATTAAGTCTTATTTTATTAGTTCGAGGCAATCAGCACGAAGCCCTACCTTTGGGTTGCAGATACTCCTTGCTGACAAGGTCCAGCAAGCACGAAACTCAATTTAGGTGGGATCTGCTGGTGATTACTTTATTCAACTAATATCAATCAGAGTGAACCATGACGGCAAGTTATATAGTTTGGTGATAATATTGTAAAAAATAAATAGACGGGATTCAGTCAGCACTAAGACCAAACTAGATAACATGAAATTGGTTATTCTCCAGTGACCAGTTATTGAATCTTATTTGTACATCGTATGTGATTAAAAAATTATAATGCTAATAAACCTTTGCATTTTTTGAAAAAGGCGTCTAACACCTGTTTTTTGGTGACTTGTCTTTTCCCTTTGCAGCTGAAAAACTTGAACAGTTGGGATTTTAATATTTTTCACCTTCGAAAAATAAGCTGCAGTAAGCATACATTTCTCTGTTTGTTTCAATTTATTATTAACCTTCCTAAATTTTTACTGTGTCACATAATTTACTTTATACCATATAAAGATGAACTTTCTGTATTTTGCCCTACATTGTTCAGTGATGATCGATTACACAAATGGATCCCAGTTGTTATTTCACTTACGTACAAAAAATGAATAATTATCATCATAAGAAAGTTCTCTTCTTGTGGACACTGATCTTAACCAAAGACATATAGTGCACAGCAATCTCTCACTGAAGTGCATCCAGCATAGTACTATGAATATGAGATGCAGTCATTTGAGTTTATGTAATTTCGATATATACTTGCGAGAAATCCTGATGAAAAATAGATGCCCACTGAAATTTAGAGATAAAAATCTAAAGCTGAAAAACACCACTGAACGTGTGCATACTGTTCCGAAAAAGATTTTACTGTTGAGGCTCGAATTGTGGGGAGATAATACGACAGATATAATTAGGAAGAGACGATCAAGATCCATAGACAGAACATTCTTTGCCGCCAATCTTGGAACCACATCCTCCTGTCAGAAACTTATTTGTCAGTGAGCAAAGTATAAGCTGGAGCATTGGGCCATATCACTGTGTGTAAGTCAGTTTATTTCCTCATACGGAGCCGAGTACACTGACTGTACCATATACCAGTTTATGCAGCGTGCTCGCAAACACTATCCAACTTGGTCGACAAGGGGAGAACGGAAATGCATCCTCTGCTCTGTAACAGAACACTTAGTAAACTCAGTATATTTGGCTTCTTGTCATAAATCCTTCAAAATTCTTTACAAAATGCGACCGAGCCGCTTCTAAAAGAGTGAGGCTAAGAAATCTGGGGATAACTGAAGCATTAGCGATCCAAAAGTTCAAACCATCGTTATGTGTTCAAAAGATGTACAACTTCATTCTTTGCCATGGCCATCGTAAATTAATGATCACTGTAGATAATCATATATGACGTCACTATTCTTATTTTGCAATCATTTTGCTTATTTCCTCATTATGTAGCTTACCTTTATGACGCAATTTATAATAACCTTTGTCCAGAACTTACCCTAGAATGTCCTACCCTTTTAACTATATATTCATGAATGTATAGCTAAGAGAACATTTCTTCTTCGCTGCAACTGTCTTTTGTGTTTTCCTATATTCAAATGGATCGTTTTGACACTAACAAATATTCAAAATATTTCTTCCTTGATTCAAATTCGAAGCAAGCAAAAAACGTATAGAAAATAGAATTAATTAAATCCATGATTTTCGGTAGAACTCCTAAGCTGGGCATTTTGTATACTTGACTACTTACATGATGAGATACTTCCTTGCATTTGAAATTAGGATAAAGATTAAGTGATAAACCTTGTCTGGACACTTGAATAATGACCTTCAGATTCCTCCTATTGGTGGCTTCTCGGTTCCTTGGGAATTAGAAAAAGGGGTAGGATAGCAGAAGGTTTATTGCAACTCCAAACTGCGTAAAAAATACGTTATATATCTTTACAATGGTCTTGGTTATCTTCAGGTCTTTTTAGAAGAACGTTTTCTATTGATTTTTCTGCTTCAGTTAATCTGATATCTACATGTAGCGGAATAATTCGTTGTGGAAGGTTACAAGGGTTTAAAGTGTCTTAAAAAGATCTGAGCAATCTCAGGTGAAAATGTTCAAAAACCTTCATGTTGCTAAGCCTCATTCATTCGAGTTTTAAATAAAAATGCATATCTCACCTTATATTATATTATGGTATGTATAAACAAGTATGCAGAGTATTCAGCTGAAGATTTCTACCGAAATTTATGAATTCATTAAATCCTGCTTTCCATCCATTTGTTGCCTGTTTTCATTAACATATGTGATAGGTGTTGTTGTAGGTGAATGTTAATTACGTCATTTGACATGTATTGTAGGATGAAAGTCTTCTGCGATGTGAAATACTTATTTAACAGTAAGATATTCATGTGAATTAGGTAACATTTCATATTGTTCTCGACTAATTATGCAGTACAATACTGTATGATATTATTGATAGTACATCTTTATTACAATCAGTAGTAATTTTTGTATCAAGCAGGTTTTTATGTGCGAATATTAACAATGTCAATATATCTAGATGATGTTGGGTTCATTATCACTGTTTCAACTGGAATTGTTAACGATTATACAAATATATAGCGAGCATTTAATTTATCCACGATTTAGACTACCACGTATTATGTTCTCTGTAAACTTTTTATTCTCATGTATCTAGATTATACAATCCGTGAGATTGGTCTGCAAATACTCGATGAGTACGATTTATTTCGAAAAATGAAACTGGATTATTTTTTGATGGCGAGAATATTTAGTAAGCCTACTGCGTATGCATATTTATTTGTGTGTGCTCGTGTATGTGATTACTATTTATTTTATATAGTGATGCGACTTGGTAATTACCTACATGTTCACTCTGTAAACTTTTAATTTCATCCTCTGTTAACAGCTGAATTACACTATTAAGACTGTTTAAACTGAAGATTAAGTGGGATGAAATCGGAAATTGTGACGTAGTGAATATAATTTTGAATGCTGAGAACTCAGAGGTTAGAAAACAGTAGAGCGCTACTTCAACTTGTGCATTGCCACTAGTAGGATATATATATATATATATATATATATATATATATATATATATATATATATATAGATATATATTTCTGAAGCAGCATCACTTCATCATGAGCTATAGATAGACCTTACTTGATGAGTGCCAACGAAACATGACTTATATTCGCGATTTCTCCTCTATGTCTTTCGGCCATATAATATGTCAATATTTACATTGGAAGGTTGATGTAAATGAAGTTAAAAATTTGAATACTTCAGTTGAATACCTCACAGTTGATAAGAAAAGTGTTTTCTTCTAAAACATATTTCTCCTCTATGTCAGTTTATCTTAAATTAAAATGTCCATAGGTAACCGAAAAATCAGAAGACTGCAATTGCAGTTTGAGGGCGACTTTGTTGGGAGTCTCGTTCTTGCATTTCATTTGAGAAGTACAGTATCTAACCATATTTGATCTAATTGAGTTGTTTTAGCGATAGAAAGCTAATTGCTTCGTTAGCTAACTTCACTCGATTTTTAACTGAACTAGGATCAAGCCAGGTAGCTAATGTGATGAAAGGTAAAAGGGCTGAACATAAAACTAAATGATTCAAGTGATCTTGATTGCTGACTAACTGTCAGATTCTTCAGCTCAACTGGTAGAATTCAGTTAATTATTTGACACAATTCAATTCCGAGTTGATTTCGAATGCAACATTATTCACTAGACTTGTATACTGATCCAGTCAGCTAATGGAGGTTATTGGGAAGTTTCAAAGAAATTAGAGACAATTTAATGTTTCCTGGTCAGTTGATTCTTTTATTTTCATCTTCCTGGATAAACATCATTGATTAATTGCAGTAGTTTATTTCCAAATGAATTTGAGTATCGTTTACTTTCATCGCTCACTTTGATATGAAAAGCGAAGCATTCTTATGATCAACAATTGTATACAAGCCGGTGTATTCCACATATGCTCGACTACTGAACTACACAAAGCTACTCTACCGTTTTATAATAAATGCCTCCTCATAAAATTTTAATGTTAACAGTTTTACTTAGTGGCTAGACTAAGGTGCCCTCAGATAGTAAGAATATATATATATATATCCTTCATCATAACATATCTGTTTTTACCTCAGTTGTCGATTTGGGTTGGGATAAGGTCCTAGAGAACAGATAGTGTGATAGCGTATGCACAATTACACGTTCTTTAACCATATAAAAGTCAGGCACAAGAATTGTTCTATTTGTACTTGAAAATACTCTGGCAGCTGATTTTTGTAACTAACGTATTGCGGTTTCGAGCGCATTATCTAATAATGACCAACTTGGAGCCTGTTTCATTCAAGGTTTTCGCCAAGTCTTTGTTTTTCTGGCTTAAGATATGTGCCTTACTAATTTATTTAAAACGGATGCTTGCAGACTACACAGTCTACTTCAAGGGTGACACAATTAGATGAGACTCATGTGTGAAATTTCTCTCTGACTTCCTTTAGGATCCAAAAGATTAAAAACATGACGTGCGATTCTGTGTACCACCATTTCGCTGAAGTATGTAGCTAGAAATCGGATGGTGTAAACGATTTGGCTGT